ATAGAGATTCTATGGTACAGTTTGCTTCATTTAAGATTTTTACTTCATTTCACATATAGTACCACTCCCTCACCAGCACGACCTGTTCTGTCCTTCCGATATATTTTGTACCTTGTTACTACTGAGTCCCATTGATTATAGTCTTTCCACCAAGTTACTCTGATGCCTATTATATCAATATCTTCATTTAATATGAGGCACTCTAGTTCACCCATCTTATTATTTAGACTTCTAGCATTGGTATATAAGCACTCTAAAAACTTGTCACTTTTTAGCTGTACCATTACATGATGTAATTGAATGAGACTCTCTCATTTGACAGTTTCTCATCAGATCCTACCTGTATTTTAAATCTTCCATACTCTCCTCCTTATTAGGACAGAGAATCTCCATTAGTAGCGCCTCCCCTAAGGGATGTGTCTGTCCGAACCATGTGCTCCTCTGCACCTGTCGGCTTTCCCCCAGCCCTTAGTTTAAAAACTGCTCTATGACCTTTTTAAGTGGAGCAAGCTGGTTCCATTTTGGTTTAGGTGGAGACCATCCTTCCTGTATAGGCTTCCCCTTTCCCAAAAGTTTCCCCGGTTCCTAATAAATCTAAGCCCCTCCTCCCTACCCCATTGTCTCATCCACACATTGAGATACTGCAGTTCTGCCTGTCTAACCGGCCCTGCACGTGGAACTGGAAGGATCTCAGAGAATGCTACCATGGAGGTCCTGGACTTCAATCTCTTATCTAACAGCCTAAAGTTGGCTTCCAGGACCTCCATGGACCGCCTAGCCTTCCCTATGTCATTGGTACCTACATGTACGATGACCACCAACTCCTCCCCCAGCACTACATATAAGTCTATCTAGATGTCTCAAGAGATTGCAACCTTCGCACCAGGCAGGCAAGTCACCATGCAGTTCTCCCAATCATTGCAAACCCAGCTATCTATGTTTCTAATGATCGAATCGCACATTACTAATACCTGTCTCTTCCTAATAACTGGAGTTCCCTCTCCTGGAGAGGTATCCTCAGTGTGAGAGGATACTACATCATCATCTGGAAGGAGGGTCCCAACTATGGGATCGTTTACCTCTGCCCCAGTTGGGATGTTCTCCTTCCCTGAGGCTTTCATTCTCAACAGCACAGAGGCTGAAGAGAGCAGGGGACGGACTGTTCTACTGTATCCCGGAAAGTCTTGTCTATGTACCTTTCTGATTCCCTTAGCTTCTCCAGCTCAGCCACACGGTCTCTGAGGGCCAGGAGCTCCTTGCACTGAATTCACCCATATGCCACCCGTCCCTAGGGCCAGTAATCATACATGCTGCATTGGGTGCAATAAACTGGATAGCCCCCACTCTGTTGCTGGACTTCTGCCAGCATTCGCTTTGTACTCCAGCAGCTCGTTCCTTTGTTGTTGGTGTTTTGTTTTTATCAGAGGGTGTTTTGTGGTTTAAGATTAAAGAAGTTTAAGGAAGGTTACATGTATCTAGCCCCCCACTCTCCCACGTCCCCATAAAGTCCCTCACAAAACTCCCATTAGCCGCTCCTGTTTGCTAGCTCCTCTGGTCGCTTAGGAGCAGGGGGTTTTTTTTGTTTTTATTAGAACTGTCACCAAAATAAATGATTGAATTTTAGAATAATTTATGTTAGTAACTGATTAAATAAAAATCATTCAAATAAAGACCTGAGCTTTGACTGGCTATAAGTGACCAACCACTTCTCAGGTCACCACAAGTGGCACATCCAAATGACCATTTGCCATGTCCCTGCTATTTCAGAACAGGCTGTCTCTGACCACAAGCTTTTTTCTTTACGAAAAGCAGCGACCCACCTCACCAATCCGTCCTCATTTTAAAGAGCGCAACCGAGTGCACACCCTTGAGCAGGGAAATAGGAACAACAACTAGGATACTTTTAGAGTGCAAAGATGTGGATCCTGTGCTTGGAGGCAGAGGGACTTGGTGAGTATAACGTCCTTGGGCTGTCTGGTTATCCTCTGTGAATGGCAATGCCATGGGCCCCTGATCAGGAGAGATGAAACAGGAGCAAGCCTCCCAGCCGAGGCAAACACTCACGCTACTGGGGTTTGAGCTAGCATGATAAAAAAATGCTGCATCAACATTGCTGTAACAGCAGAGGCTCAGGCTATCCACTTGAGCCCAGACCTACTTGAGCCCCTGCCTTTTTATACAGCTAAATGTAAATGTATAACATTTAGGAACAAAGAGTGAAGGCCGTACTTATTACAGGATGGAAGACTATCCTGGGAAGCAGTGATTCTGAAAAAGATTTGGGGACATGGGGTCATAGTGGGTAATCAGTTGAACATGAGCTCCCAGTGTGACACTGTGGCCAAATAGGTTAATGTGATCCTTGGATACATAAATTGGAAACTCTAGTAGGAGTAGAGAAGTTATTTTCCCTCTGTATTTGGCATTGCTGCGACTGCTGCTGGAATATTGTGCCCAGTTCTGGTGACCACAATTCAAGAAGGATATTGATAAACTAGAGAGTGTTCACAGAAGAGCCACAAGAATGATTAAAGGATTGGAAAACATGCCTTTAGAGTCAATCTATTTAGTTTAACAAAGAAGGTAAAAGGGTGACTTGATTACACATTAGAAGTACCTACATCGGGAACAAACATTTGACAAAGGGAGCTTCATTCTAGGACAGAAAGGTTTAATGCTATTAAATGACTGAAAGTTTAAGCTATACAAACTCAGACTGGAAATAAGATAATTTTTTAATACTGATGGTAATTAACCATTGAACAATTTACCAGGGGCATGATGGATTCTACATCCTTGGCAGTTTTTAAATCAAGATTGGATGTTTTTCTAAATTGCTCTAGAAATTATTTCAGGGAAGTTCTTTGGCTTGTACTATGCAGGAGGCCAGACTAGATGATCACAGTGGTCCCTTCTGGTCTTGCAATCTATTAATCGAGCCTGACATTAATCCTGGGCAAAACAGAAAAGCGAATATGAAAGTCAATCAATAAAAGAATGGGATTATAATTCATGTCAGTCAACATGCTTATGGAAAAGAGATTGTCATACAAACTCCATTTAATTTTTGATGAGATTATGTATTTAGTTGATAAAACTAACTACATACATGTATATACTTGTATGAAGTAAAATGATATATTTGCCCACTTTTCCTGTTCTTAATTTGTCTAAAGACAAACCAGGGGTACTATATACTTCTTAATTTGTAATTATCCATAAATTTCTGAGAACATTACAGCTGGATTTATAAAAAACTGGTTGAATGATGAATATTAAATTCATAGTGTACATTTACTAAAATACAAAAATAGACTCAGGAGTACGATATTTGGAAAAGTTTAGCCCAGAAATGAAACTTTGGCTCTGGTAGTGGCATATTCTAATCACTTCATAACAGCTGCAGGTACCTGTTCCTTGAGGAGACCACAAAGTATTTTGTCACGTGTAGCTAAGTCAAAACCTAATTCCTTATTCAAGAGCTATTTACAAAATGGAAATGGGGTTGCGGTTATCCTCTTATTGCTCAGGAATAATGCTTTAGTTTGGAAAATGACATTTACTCAAGAACAGTAATAGTTAACAGAACATGTCACTTACGGGGGACCTGATAAGTATTTTGTTACTTACAGCAAAAGTATTTATTTCAAAGTATTTATTATTCAAATTTATTTGAAAAATTAAATAATGCATTAATTGCTATACAATTCACTCATTTATGGTGAAGTTTCCTAAACATTTAATTTTAGATTTATTAATTTTAAAATGTGGTCTTTGACTGAAGCTGGGACCCACAAATAAGAAATTGGAACTAAGGAATTAACTTCATCCTCCTCAGATACCAGCTGTTTTTCACGGGGAGTTATATTTTAAGTGTGTTTTTGAATTTGGAATGGTTTGTGTGCACAGTCTCCGACAACAGGTGCACCATAGACACTGGAGAATAGGAATAGATGTTGAAATCACCAAGAGACCAGACCATCACGCCTAGCCAGTTTCATAGTCCCTTTCAAAGTGATGCACCAAGCAAGGCATGGTAAGGGATGTGACTATTTCTGGCCATGGTCCTAAATGTTTTAATCATTGCCCTCAGTCAAAGAAGCTGTTAGACAGCAGGTGTGAAGGGAAGGGTATGTAGAGGAGGCAGACACAGCTCAGAGATGAAGTACTCACTACCATCCACCTACCTGGAATACAGCAAGCAGTGTAGAGAGAAGCGATGCTGTTCCATGGGACTCTTCATGGAAACACACAGGATGACTCACATCCTTCTGCAAAGGTGAGCCAGGGGGCTGCACAGGTTTAACATGTGGGCTGGAGGGGTAGGTAACAGGAGAAAAGAAAATGGGGCAGTCACCCAGCCTGAGAGGGATGGGGGAGCAGCAGCTACCTGGCCTGAGGGAAGGAATGGGGGGCGGGGAGGGTGGAAGCAGCCACCTGGCCTGAGTGGGGAGGACAGGACATGGTGGAGGCAGTGACAAGGTCGAGCCAAAAGCAGGAGGATGAACTTCGTGGTCACAAGCACTGCCTCTGGCCCTAGTCATGGTGCCTCTCTGGAGCCATTCACCCAGTAACAGCTCCACCCTGTGAACTGACAGTACCCCCCTCTGCCAAGTGCAGTGGTGGCTTTGCACCCACTCAGGCCCATTGCAGGGGTGGACCTCGCCCTCTGCCCATGGGGAGGCAGCTTGTCCTGCCCTACCACACCTCTCTAGCTGTAGGATAGAGAGCTGGAGCCCAGGCTGTATCTGGGCTGTGACTGGCCCCCCTGTTCCCTCTCAGCTGGGATCTGGGCCAGCTGGAGCACCCAGCCCATGAGCCTGGCATAAGCAGTGCAGGAGTGCTGTGCTAGTAAGCCCAGCTGGCACCATGGAGGACTGCCCCCCTGTGTACGCCCCTTCTCCCCGCATAAAATGGTGCTTGGAACCATGCTGTGTGTGGTTTGATCATTGTGGAGGCTGAGGCAGCCGAGACTGGCAAGAAGGGATAGGGTCCAGTGGTACAGTAAATGACTTTTATTTTAAAAAGTGAACATATTAACAGGCCTGCAGGTGGCACACAGTACAGCTGGGCATAAGGTAGATACATTTCCCCATGGACCCGGACAATGAAATCATCGCTTCAATGCTGACATTTAGTTAATTCTGGATACAGTTCTACCAAACTGAATTTACTGAAAATATTTCTGGACAAAGCCAATATTGATAATTAATTTTCCTTCAGTTTTGGGAAATGACAGACATCCCGAGCTACCACTGGTACTTGGGGAAATATTGCCTGGAGCTACCAGTGCAAGGGGAGACGGACAACATCTCCATGTTAGGACAAAATACATGTCCTGTTTTACTTCTCACTTTGTGGAATCTGTAGGGAGTGAGGAGTTAGTTTCTATTTGCTCTCCTTTGGCTGATTTTGTGCTATTTTAGACTGATTTCTATAAATCATTTCTTGATTTTATTGAAAGGAAGACTAAACGTAATGTGCCTTTCCTTGTAAATCCAGTAACAGTTGAGATATTTCAAAAATACTAAAAATATCTACTTTCATGAAATATTAACTGTTTCACTACAAACCTAGTTTTTCACTAAATACACAATTCTCCTACTCCTGGAACCTCCTGGGAAAAGCAGTGGGTTCTCCCTGTAGATCTGTAATTCTACAGTGTATAGAGAAATGGCTACAAGAAGGGGTGTGTGAAGAACAGCTTTATCCCTTTTCCTTGTCCTGTATCGCACTAGGGAGGATTGTGTGTATGTCTGCGGTTGGACTCTTGTTGATCACACTCATTCAGAAGCTATCTACCTAGGTCTGCAGTAGGATACCCCACCTCTAGCACATTCCTTATAACTTCTTGGAGACTAACTAGGCATGAGGAAAAATGTCCACACTCTTATACCATTTCTAATCATAATATGGAGGAATACCACATGGTTTCCAGGCAATTCCAATTTGCAAAAGGCCACAGGAAAGGGACACGGCACCTTTCATTAGAATAAGGAATTCTGCATGTAACAGTGCGATCTTCCATCAGACCTTCAATATTGAGGCAATGTAGAAACAGTGGCTGAAGGGTGTATGTAATACTGACCACACCAGCTCTTAGTGAAAGGCCTCTGCTCCTGCAGAGGCAGTCATGTGCAGTCCCTGTATGTACTGTGAGAAAAGGCTTACTTCACCGGAGGGGGGGGGTTGGGGGGCGCAGAGAGAGAGAGTTAGAATTAGCAACTCCTAAGATCTAGCCAATTTGGATTCATGAGCCTTCAGTGTGCCAACAGCATCTTTTACTGCATGGTAGATAATGTTCTTCACCTGTAAGTAACAGAAAAAAAAATTAATACAAACTTTTAAACCTGAGCAGCATGTCTACCCTAACAGGAAGTCAGAGTTTAAGGCCAGAAGGGTCCACTAGATCATTCAGTCTGAACTCCTGTATATTACAGGCCACCAACTCAATCTAGCATCCACACACAAACGCAAGTGACCCCAACCGCTTCATAAACAGGTATTTACTAGACTTTGGGGGTTGAATATATAATAGATGTAAAATGCTCACATGGAGGAGTCAGAGACCGAGAAAGAGAGATTCACACCAAAAATGCTGAACTTATTAAATACTATTGCTGCTTCCCAAAGTTGCAAACAGCACTGTTATATAAATGTCAAAATTAGACTCCAGGAAAAGTTTAATATTAAACAACTGCACTTCTATGTTATTTATCCACTTTATGGTAAACCAGGATTAATTTATTGGCTATTATCTTTTTAGATTTTAAGCTTCTCCTTGCAAGGACACTAGATCAGGCAAAATATTAAGTCTTTCATATTAAACTCTTGCCCAAATTGGTTGTATGTTATTAGGAGGAAATTATTCATACACTAAGAATGGACTAATAAATCATCTAGTCTGACTTGTAAATCACAGACCCATAAATTTCACCCAGTTATCCCTATGCTGAGTGCAAGGTTTTGACTAACACATGTCTTGATTCAAAGACAACAACAGATGGAGAATCCAATGCTACCCTTGGTAGTGTGTTCCAATGGTTAAATCACCCTCACTTTTAAATTCAAAATTACAAAATTAGGCACAAATTTTTGTCTGGGTTCAGCTTCCAGCCATTGTTCCTTGTTATGCATTTCTCCACTAGATTAAAGAGTCTTTTAGTACTCAATATTTCTCTCCTGTATATTCTGTCATCAAGTCATCTCTCAATCTTCTTTTTGATAAACAAATGGAGCTCATTAAGTCTCTCACAGTAAGGCATTTTCTCTAGTCCTCAAATCATTTTTGTGGTTCTATTCTGCACCCTCTCGAATTTCAACATCCTTTTTAAAATGTGGACATAAGAATAGGATGCAGTATTCCAGTGTGGGTCTGAGCAATGCTATATCCAGAGGAAAAAAAGTCACCTCCCTAGTCCTACTCAACTACACCTTATAGATCCCAAGCAGGGGTTTGGAGCTGTGCTCTGGCTCCGCTCCAGCACCAGGCAAAAACCTGCAGCTCCACAGCTGCTCCGCGCTCCAGCTCCAGGCTCCGCTCCAAAGCCCTAGGTCCAAGGATTTCATTTGCCCTCTTTGCCACAGCATCACTCTAGGAGCTCATATGATAATTTATTCGTATTTCTGTAGTGCATAGATGTCCTAGGTAAGTCGCTTGTCCACTATGACTCCTCCTTTTCAGAGTCACTGCTTTCTAGGATACAGTCTGCCCCCCACCAATTCAGTAGGTACTGTCTGCACTTGTTCTTAGATGTATAACTTGGTATTTGGGTGTGTATTAAAATGCATTCTAATTGAATGGGCCCTCTTTACCAAGTGACCCAGATCTTTCTGCATGACTACCATGGTCATCATTATTTGCTATCTGTCTAATCTTTGAGTCCTCCACAAATGTTTTTCATCAGCAGGGATTTTGTATTTAATTTTCAGATCATTGATGAGAAAGTGTTGAATAGCTTGGGGCCTAGTACTGATCTCATGGCACCCCAATAGAACATCCCCGTTTAATGATAACTTTCCACTGACAACTACTTTTTGAGATCTGTCAGACAGTTCCAAGTTCTTTATACATTTAACATGTGCTTTATCGATATTGTGTATGCTAATTTTTTAAATGAGGACATCATGCAGTATTAAGTCAAACGTATTACAAAGATAAGTATTTTACATCTACAGTTACTTGCTTTATCCACCAAACCTTAATAATCAAAAAATGAAACTGGGTTTATTGACAAAACCTATTTTCCATAAAATCATGTTGACTAGCATGATATTCTCATCCTTTAATTATTTACTGATTGACTCCCAAATCAGCTTCTCCATCATTTGTCAGGGATTAATGTCACTCATTATCACTCTTCAAATCTTCTGAAATTTCCCTAGTATGCCAAGATTTATTAAAATTAACACTGGTGAGCCACAGATCGGTCTCAGCCAACACTTGGATGACTTGTGTGTGGAAGTATCAGAGGGGTAGCCGTTAGTCTGGATCTGTAAAAGCGGCAAAGAGTCCTTATAGACTAACAGATGTATTGGAGCATAAGCTTCCATGGGTGAATGCATGCACCCGACGAAGTGGGTATTCACCCACGAAAGCTTATGCTCCAATAAGTCTGTTAGTCTATAAGGTGCCACAGGACTCTCTGCTGCTTTGTGTGTGCAAGTTACTCAGGCCTGCCAATTTAAAAAAAAGTATTTATCCCCTACTAGATGTTTAACGTTATCCTGATTTATTAACGGTCTGGAAAGTATATCATCCTTATATGACAAGAGTACATCATCCTACTTCTTTCAAAAAATGGAACAAATTTTTACTGAACACGTCTGCCTTGTCTGTGTCATTAACAATTTTACCTAGTTTTAAAATTTTACTTCATCTAGTACTCAGTCTATATCATTTCTACGGTTTCTTGTGTTCCTAATATATTTAAACTCCTTATTGTTCTTAGCCCTGCCAGCAATGGATTTTTCCCTGAGGTCTTCCTTTAACAATTTTCTACCTTTCCTAACTTCTAATGTATATTGACTGCTATCTATTTCCTCTTTTTTCCATTTGTAACACATTGATTTTTATTCCTAACTGTGGAGTTAACTTCACCACTGAAACAGGTAGGTTATGCAACTCAGTTTAAACCAGTTTTTAACAAACATTTTAAAAATGCAAAGTAAGTAAGTACCAGTATAAGAATAGAAGAGCAACAAGGAATAGATACACTATCAATTCTAAAGCCTCAGGATAGTTAATTTCCTAGTGCCCTTGCCCTGGCTAATCACCTATTAAGTTTCCATAACTGCATTACGAAGCATGTGCACATGTGCTCAATATCTTTGGTATCAGCTCTGACTGACAGGTTTAGTTTTGATTATATGCTTAATTAATTTTTCAAGCCCTATATATAAATTCATGAAGATCAGCCATTACTGCCACAAAGAAAAATCATAAACCAACAGCTGTTCACTCTCCAATTCCTTTTTGGCTTTTAAGAGATAGACATCAGGCCCATTCAGACCAGTAAAGACACCTGTTTTAAAGAATGCAACTACTAGCTTTTCTATTTCCACTAACTCTGTGTCAACTTACTCATCTAAGGATGCACTTGTGCATCTGCATCATTGTATCAGAAGAATAATGTAGTCTAGTGCAGTGGTTCTCAACTAGGCATACATGTACCCCTCAGAGTATGCAGAGTTCTTCCAGGAGGTTCGTCAACTCATCCAGATAGTTGTCTTGTTTTACAACAGTCTATATGAAAAGCACTAGCGAAGTCAGTACAAACTAAAATTTCACATAGGCAATGACTTGTGAATACAGCTCTATATACTATATCAGTATTTCTCAACCGGGAGGGTCGTGATTTGTTTTATAATTATAAATAGAACAGTTTTTGCTTGTGATGAAACAAAGGTAAAATCCTTCGTGCAACAATACTCAAGAGATTTAATAGGTGGCGTTGTCTTCTGTCATTTCCCCTCACCAGAGCTTAATAATTTATGAGCCAAGCAATATGATCCATCATGTAAGGATGAAAGTGTTACTTTCCAGGGACAGCTCAATTGAGGTTAGTGCTAGTCTTTTGCTTAGGTAGCCAAATCCCAGGATGTAGATTTTTGCCAAAAATATGGAATGCTTCTATCAAATTAAAAGCTCCAAAGTTGTAAAGTATTTATTTTTCCTGATTCACTAGCCATATGCATGTTCATAAGTGACTTCAAAACTTCCAACATACAGGATCTACCCAGAGATTGTTCCCGCAGGATGGACTGATAGTTACCTGCAGTTTATCCTCATGGTTTGTGTGAGTGTTAGAGAGGTGCCTGAATTCCTGGGTCAGGCGGAAGCAGTGCTTTACGTGTTCTGGAGATACAAAATCTTCTGCCACTTTAATGCAACTGTACAAATTATGAACCTGAAAAAAATAATAGTATTAGATGTTAGATACACCACAAGACTGAATGACCCAAAACAGAATTAATGTCAATGAATTCCATGGACAATAGGTTCCTGCACACACATCTACCAAAAAGACTGAAACACTCCAGTTTCCTGCAAGACAATTCACAGAATTGTATCTTAAGTTAGAGAAGCAAAAACCCTATTGGATCCCAGCTGGCCCATCTCTCCACAGTACATTCTTTAGTGAACTTTGTCGGTTCACAGGCTATCTTCTTAAAAAAAAGTGCTGTGAAGTGAACTGACAGACCATCAACCTCATATACCACAGTTTGGAAAACCCTGCTCTAGTATTTTAGCTACCATAGATTTAGATGTCCAAAGTGATGGGGCTTCCACTACTTCCTTGGGATTCTCTTCAGTGGCCTAAGAAGATCTCCTTTTTTTCCCTCACATGCATCCTAATTGTTCCCTTTCTTAATTTCATCCCATTACTTTATACACCCACCCACAATATGCCACATAATTTTATTTAGCTATATATATTGTGCTCAATGTGATGCTTGAGCACTATTAAATAACTCCTGTAGAACTGTACTGTTAGAACTGCAGAGCCCAAGACAGCAGCCTTACTTCAGAGTTCTTTCAGGAGCCAAATTATAAATCCAAACTACTACAGTTTTATAGTGTCCCAAATTCACTTGCCATCATCTTTATGGCCTCCACAGCATGACATTTACCTGGTGGGGGGCACCTGCAGGAATAAACACAGCATCTCCTAGGAACTGCACTATTGCCCAGCCTTGTACTCCATACTCCTCATAAAGACGCTTACGTAGGGTCTGGTCCAGGTACCAACTTTGGTCATGAATTGGATCATGATCCGGGGGATTTTCTTGGCCTTGTTCTTCTCCAACCTAATACAAAAGATACAAAAACATTTATACAAAGATATTGCAGTTCAGTGGTACTACTTTTCATAAAGTACTTTGCACCAACGTACTGGGGACAAACACGATCTTAAGCTACTTCAATATGAGATACTACCAGCTCAGATCATAAATACTTTTAAGGTCAAGGCATCTATACCAGTAAGTATCCCTTCCACATTCACCCCTGTGGTCTTAGCCCACAGTGAAAGTTTACACTTCCTCCATGCTTGGGCGTAAACTCATTCCCAGTTTTCTCAAACTGTGACATTGTGCCCATACAGATTTACAAGTATAAACCATATCCAGGCAGCAGAATAGTGGTTTGTCACTGAATATATGACCAGCTGTACATGTCATTTTCTTAAACCACATTCACAGAAGAGGAAAACATTTGGGATTTTTGTAGGTGCATCTGTATATGTGCTCATGAGCGTCAGCTGGAGCAGACTCAACTTGAATCTTAACACCCCCATTGATAAACCTTTCTAGGACCCAGTCAGGCCATAAGCTCCTTCAGTCACCATCATACCTTTCGGAGAAGTTCCCGGATCTTCTCAGCATCCTTGGCAGCATAGATGTGCCACAGCGCTCCAGGCTTCTCTTTCCCTTCATGGATTCGCTGCTTTGTCACATCATCAGCATCTCCCTCATCAATTGTTTTCAGTACTTCTGAAAGGAGGATCCACACAAAAGCTGAACAAGGTCACATGAATTTACAGCTCCTGTATTTAACATGCAAAAGTCGGCATAACAAACTTCGCCATTGTGCTAGTCAATAGCTAACTGGAAGGAAGCATGATAACTTAGTCATAAGAAATCTCTAGTTTGAGACTAGAGTAACCTTTGTTTTTCCCCCCAAGGAAGGGTTAGAACTATCCAGTTACAACACCACCATTACTTTCATAGTAATGTCCTAGAAAAAGCATTAATGACTAGTGACCACTGTCTATGCCTCTGAACGTCTACTGAGACATAGCCCAAATAGCCAAGGCAGTTTATAGCTGGCAAAGATTTCAAGGCCTTTTGAACAACCCATGGAAGACCTCCTTCTACACCCCAAAATGTCCAAAGAGCGTTATCTAAAATATTACCATCATCATGGGCTCCTTCCCCAATGGGGATGCCAACATACACCATGACATTAACAGCATCAGACACATCCAAATGGAGATTGGTTGTACCAACTCGCCTGTCTTCTGCAGTTATTAACCCTATGAAAAAAGAGGGGAGTAAAAAGATTAATATTGTAAAACAAGCAAGATCTAATTCCTACAAAAACATCCTCTTTTTGGAGGGTGGGAATGCTTCCCACTATGTGTGCTACTTTTGCTTTCTGCTATCATCCCAGCAACAATGCTTAGCTTGTAACAGAACTGAAAAGGTTGATTTTTCATACTTATTTTTCCTAGACATGAAAAAATTGCAAATTTATTGGAAGCTAGTTAAAAGTTTAGTACAAAAACAGCATGTTAGAAGTCTGTCCCTGTTTATAAGGGGGATAATTAACTCTTTGAAGACAAAAGACTGAATTTGTGCTCTGCAGCTTTGTGTATCTACAGGTCATTTGTTCCCAGCTGTAGCGAGGAGACGTGCTTTGGCAGTGCTCTTAGCAAAAATTCTCTCCCCTGCTTTACTGGTACTTGCATTTTCATTCCCCTTTTCCTCCCTTCTCCCCTCCTCTGTCCCCTCGTCCTCCTCTCTGTAGTGTCCCCTCTTTCCTTTATCTTGGTTTAGGAAATCTCCTCCCAAAAAACCCTATCCAAAAATTAAAAAAAAGGATATAAATTAATGGATTTGAAGTTTGCAGACCATCATGCTGTTACTCTGCTTGTTTATCTTCTCCGCACTACTCTGTGTCCTGACTATTTAAGCTGTAAACTCTGAGAAAGGATTTTCTTAGGGCTTGTCTTCATGTACTGCGCAGCTGTGCCGCTGCAGATGCCGCTACACCAGGAGGAGAGCTACTCCCGTCAGCGTAATTAATCCCCCTTCCTGAGAGGCAGCAGCTAGGTCAGCAGAAGCTCTCTCATTGACACAGCGCTGTCTACACGCAGGTGAGTGGGGGTGTTTGGTATAACTACGTTGCTCAGGGGCGTGGATTTTTCACACCCCCGAGCGACGTAGTTATACCGATATGTGTCTGTCGCGTAGACCAGGCGTTACTCTGTAGAGCACCTAGTAAAGTGGGGCATTAATGCTAGCTCAGGATTCTAGACAGGAGGCTAACAGACATCTTTTCTCAGTGGGTTTCAAAACTGGAAGGGGCACATGAGCTTCTCCAAGAAACACTTCTAAATTATAATTAGACAAGAACATCTACCTACAAAGGCTCAGTGAGCTGCAGCAATTTAAGGTAAATATAATGCTGCCTATGAAACAAGATTTTTTGCAAAATATTACAAGAAAGATTTTACATAGTACGAAAATAGAACAGGGGTGGGCAAACTACCGCCCACGGGCCGCATCCAGCCCATCAGGGCTTTGGATCCAGCCCGCAGAATTGCCACCCCCATGACACCCCGGGCCTCGCGCCGCTCCCAGAAGCAGCCGACACCATGTCCCTGCAGCCTCTGGGGCAGAGGGCTCTGTGCACTGCCCTCGCCTGCAGGCACCGCCCCCCACAGCTCCCATTGGCCGGGAACAGGAAACCGTGGCCAATGGGAGCTTCAGGGGAGGTACCCGCAGGCAAGGGCAGCGCATGGAGCCCTCTGCCCACCCTCCATAGGGACATGGTGCTGGCCACTTTCGGGAGCAGCACGGGGCCAGGGCAGGCAGACAGGGAGCCTGCCCTGGCCCTGGTGCGCCCCGCTGCCACTCCAGGTAAGTGGCGCTAGGCTGGAGCCTGCACCCCAACCCCCTGCCCCGAGCCCCCTCACGCACTCCACACCCCCTCCTGCACCCCAACCCCTTGCCCTAAGCTCCTTCCTGCACACCGTACCCCCTCCCACACTGTGTACTTCAATTCCCTGCCCCAGCCCTACATTCATGGCCCTGCATGCAATTTCCCCACCTAGATGATTAGGGGGGCTGGAGCACATGATTTATGAGAAGAGGCTGCGGGGACTGGGATTATTTAGTCTGCAGAAGAGAAGAATGAGGGGGGGATTTGATAGCTGCTTTCAACTATCTGAAAGGGGGTTCCAAAGAGGATGGATCTAGACTGTTCTCAGTGGTAGCTGATGACAGAACAAGGAGTAATGGTCTCAAGTTGCAGTGGGGGAGGTTTAGGCTGGATATTAGGAAAATCTTTCACTAGGAGGGTGGTGAAACACTGGAATGCATTACCTAGGGAGGTGGTGGAATCTCCTTCCTTAGAGATTTTTAAGGTCAGGCTTGACAAAGCCCTGGCTGGGATGATTTAGTTGGGGATTGGTCCTGCTTTGAGCAGGGGGTTGGACTAGATAACCTCCTGAGGTCCCTTCCAACCCTGATATTCTATGATGTGGCTCTTGGGCCAAAAAGTTTGCCCACTCCTGGAATAGACGGTACAATGGAACTGTAATTCATGGTATTCAGAACCTGCTAAAACCAAATTTTAGGTCTCCTGCAAAGAAGAAAGTTTACAGGCTTCCAGCCTCACCTGTTGTGCTCCAGGCATTAGAACATTTGCCTGGATGGATTGCTACAGTCATCTAATATTGTGATTATAAGAGCGTCAGAAGACAAGAACCATATTTTACATCACATGTGACTAATGAAAAAACAGGTTTTAAGATAAATCTGTAATAGGGAACATGGATTTAACGATTCAGTTTAGGAGGAGGAGGAGGAGGAGGAGTCTTTTTCATTTTGAAGGCTGAACTTTTATATTGGAGCAGAAAGAATCTGGAAGATCTAAATTAATTATTTTCCACTTATAAAGACCAAGGCCAAAATTTTCAAACCTGGATGCCTGAAATTAGGCACTAAACATTGATTTAGGAAGCTAAATAAAAGTGACCTGATTTTCAAGGGTGCTGTGCATGCATAAATCCCACTGAAGTGAACAGGAACTGCAGTTGCTCAGCACCTTTTAAATTCAGGCCATTTTTATTCAGATGTCTATTTTAGCGCTGAACTGGTGTCAGAATTTTCAAACCTGGGTGTCTAAAATTTTTAGATATGAAAGCCTTGCCAACGCAGGATAAGGAAAAAGGATTTTCTTTCCAGAAGTAGGTATACTTTTAGTTTATGGACTAACGTGCAAAGGTCATAGCCATTTATTTATAGAATTGAAATACATCTCAAAAGCTTTTTTCCCTTTTTTTTTTTTTAAGCTGTGAAGAAAGCATATGTATGCAGTGGTGTTGTAACCATTTTGGTCCCTGGATATTAGAGAGTCAAGGTGGGTGAGATAGTATCTTTTACTGAATCCAACTTCTGTTGGCGAGAGACACGAGCTTTGGAGCGTATACAGAGCTCTTCTTCAGGTCTGTGTATGAACACAGAGAAATAATTTTAATAAGTATTTTCTGTATTCATGCTACCTTCATAGTATATTGAGGGTGAATATTTATTCCTTTTTTATTTTCCTGGGGCCCATAACTAGGCTGAGTAAAACAGCGAGTACTCATTTATTGGGAAACTACTCTTGGTTATGTTTTCGCTTTTTCATTTTTAAAAAACGAACACCTTTGTATCCAAATAGCATAGAACACTGAAGTATGTATGAGCTTTTATTGCAAAAGTTGAAGTGCAGTTTAAAGAGTCCTACAAACTCATATTCTAAGAGAGGAAAAAGATATTGATAACTGTTTTAAAATTTAAAACAGTATTTTAAATAAATCTGTCCATCTCCTTTCATTCCCCATCCACCCAAGAAGTTAATAAAAGATAATAAAAATAATGAAAATCAGACAAAATAAGTTAGCCTTCACTGCTAATCAGTTTGCTTTTTGTTGCAGCCTATCCTCCATCTCTATGTTGCCGGATTAGACTAAACTCTGTACAGTTTCTGGAACACTTTGGGAGCTGTATAAGCAAACATCTAAGACAATTCTCTCAAAATACTGGAAAATGTGACCTTCAGATCATGTTGATTCCATGGCTTGAGTAGCACCAAGCACCATAAACAAAGATTGGAAAGAACCGCATTATTGTAAACCTCTGTTTTAATTCCTTTATATGTGGTACTTTTTAAGCCCGTACCTTGTGATTGTGCTAAACCATATGTTTTAGAAAACAACTAATCCTGATTTAAAGGCTTCAAGTGATGGAGAATCCACTGTATCCTTAGGCCTGTTGTTCCTTCCAATGGTTAGTTACCCTGACTATAAAAAACTCTACACTTCATTTATCTTGCAAAGTTAAACTTTTAGCAAAACCTTTGCAATTTACTTTTAAAGTTAAGCCAGTATTTTCCTTCCATGTGCCTACTTTGTGGGGGCAGAGGTATGTGCTATGCTTGAAGAATCATCTTTAGTTTTGGGCGTGGATAAAATCATGCAGGTTTTTGATTTTTTTTTTTTTTTAGAAAAATGTTTTTTTAAAAGTCAAAATCAGATTGTATTTACATGTTGCTAGTTCTTTACTCTTTCCACTTTATAGTTCTAAATTTCTAAAGTGGAGATTTCAGATATTAGATTTTTTTTCTAGTCAGAAATTTCGTATTTAAAATGTGCTTCTATGCTAAAAAAACAAGCCCAGAGCCTCATTAACATGCTTACTGAGATAAAAGTCAGTTTTGTGTTTGACAAGAGAACAGCCATTGATATATTTGCAACCAAACCCCACTTCTGATATACTGAACTTCCACAAGTAAAGAAATGAAGTTCTTCAACTAGGCTATATTTCTCCATCAGTGTTTGTAGATTGAAGTGGGACTTACGCTCATAAATCACACAGGTGGCTTTGAAAATCCCTCCCTTCTCTGTCTAAATATGGGATCAGGACCCTAACTTTATGCTATTTTTGAAATTTTTGGACACTGTACAAAAAAGTTTACAATAACTTCTTTAATGTATTTAAGGCCTAAATAACTTTTCATTGTTAACACTGAAGAGATTTTGGGGAGACAATGATTTTATGTCATTAAGAAAAAAGTTTGATAAATACACAGTTCTAGCCCGTGATACTGGAAACACTTATACACATGCTAATTTTTAAGCACATAAGTAGTTCCATTTAAATCAATGGGGCTATTCCCTGTGAGTAAAGGTATCCTTAGGGGGTTGCAAGACAAGTATCTTAAATTCTCAATACTCAGGTCATCAGATCCTCCTAGTGCGTTAACAGTCATGGACTATAAAGCTACATATCAACGTGGAGTCTGGTGGCACCTTAAAGACTAACAGATTTATTTGAGCATAAGCTTTTGTGAGTAAAAAACCCACTTCTTGCATCTGAAAAAGTGGGTTTTTTACCCACGAAAGCTTATGCTCAAATAAATCTGTTAGTCTTTAAGGTGCCACTGGATTCCTCATTGTTTTTGTGGATACAGACTAACACAGCTTCCCCTCTGATTCTTAAAGCTACATATCATCATTCTTGTGTATATTAATACTAGTTTACACACATTTCTAAAGAGCTATCACCATGCACAGTAGGAGCCAAAAATATACATGGCATCTTATGAAGAAAAAAATAAGCAAATTTAAAGGCACAAGTGTCTTATTAGACCAACACTATGATATAAGCTAATGCACTGTAGGACAGTTCATTGCACTAGCTTCTGTATGTTCCAATTATTCACTGGACACAGCTCAAAGGATAGAGACAATGTGGTAAAGAATAGTAAAAAAAGGCCTTCTCCAGACCTTTTTACACATACCATATGCGTTGTACATTTTGGGACCCAGATCAGGCCGTACAAAGTAACTCGGCAGTCTAGAGGCCAGATTCAGTCTGCCATCCCTCTTGGTATACTCTGGGAGAGGGAGGTTCTCCATCAAATCCTCAAACCTAAAGAGGTACAGCAGAGAGTACAGGAGTAGAACGACAGCACCAACAGAACTATATTGCTGAATAAGCACAAGTGTAACACAGAATCCTGTAAGTTCTGCTGTTCAGCTCACTTACCTCGTAGGCATCATGTCTCTAAAATCCTCCCCTGGAGGCCAGTCTTTTAGTTTCAGTACCATTGGCTGCCCATCATCTGACCTCAGACGCTCTGCAAGAGACAGACAAATTTTACTCAGCATGTTACATCCTTTCCCACCGCCCTTTGTATTATTTATTTAGATTGTAAACTCCTTCAGGCAGAGACTTCGTATACTGCCCAGCATACAATGGACCCTGACCTCAGTTTGGGCTCTTAGGCACTACTAGAATATACAAACAAACAAAAACAAAAAACAAGTTTTGACTCATCAAAAAGAGGAGGGGGAGAGACACCACACCCCCAAAACAGAGGCTGAGGGATCCCTCAAACCTGCTAAATCTCACCCTGCAGAACTTTTCTGGGCCTGAAAGGTGGAGTTTTCTTAATCATTCACCCTTATTCTACTTCCACTGAGGTCAAAGTTTTACCATTGACTTCAACAGCAGCAGATTTAGGTCAATGTTGAGTGATTTTGAAAATCCCACCCTATATCACTTTTGCCAACTTGGACTGCTTCCAACCCACCCCAAAATCCTTTCTGCCCAATGCAAGGAACGAGTAATGTGCTTCTTAGACAATCATACATCTGGGTGACGCTCTTACTCAAAGGTAGCTGGTGTCCAGTTGAACACCAGCTGGAATGCATACCTCCCCGTTTCACAGAATACAGCATATTCATAGAGTAAGACATTTTACAATTGCTGTGATATGAATGCATGCCCATTTTGTCAGGTGAAAGATGTCTGGGAGCACCTTGCACCCCTTCTGACAATACTATTCCCTCTCTACAGTTTGCTGTCAACATACCATAGTTTGCCCAAGAAATCATCTCTGGATCTAGATTACACTGAAAATTCCTTCCTGTTGCCAAACCTCCCACATCTGAAGGAGGTATTCAAGAAACTAGCAGAGAGCCACTTCAAACACTTGTCCTCCACCAATATGCCTTGACTACTACATACATTCTTCCAGAGCTCTGAAGTAGCCAACCTCAAGGATGAAGTGTGGGAGACAGCGGCAGAGCCAAAATTTTGGAAACTTATTACCGGGGAAGGCAAAAATGGAGGCAGTAAGATTTGTTATCATTTGTGAAATGTAAAACTAACTTCAACTTAGCTTTTCCACAGAAGCAATTATAACAGCACAGAAGAAAGAGGTAAAGACAAAAAGCAGTAGGAAAGAAATTGAAAGACATCCCACATGGTCTCTAAACAGAAACATTAGAGTACTGTCCTCCTAGGATACTGATCCTCTTTGACAGGTGCATCAATACACACTACTGTAAACCTGAGTTATCTGCTATTTGAAATCGTTTGATAGGCCAAGCTGCACTTAGCCTAACCTTATTCTCCACTGTTCCATCATCCACTCTGTAGTAAGCCCCAGTTATTTAAGGAGCAGCATGGACTTTACAGCAAGAGGGGCATCAGTTAGAACACAAAAACAATCTACCGTGGGGGGAAGAAGGGGGAGAGAGAAGTAAAATAATGAAATGTGCTATTCTGCCATCAGCCTGCACTTACTGGAAATGATTTCAAAGCCATCCCAGAAGTCACGCACTTTCACATCTGAAATTATGGCGCAGTTCCTGCAGTTCACCAGATCAACATCCTGGTCTCCAAATTCTAGGCTGAAGGCCTCTGGTTTCCAGAGCTCTGACTTCAGCTTCTTATGGACTCCCGAGACCAGCACAGGCTAAGGAAAGAAAGGCAGGTGCTCATTCCATGATTTGCCAAATGTATTGCATATCCAGCCAACTCTCTCATTCTCAAGAACTGGGAAATTCTTGGCCAACACCACACAGAAGAAAGTCACCAGAAATCAGTTTCCTTTTACATATAAATCCAATCCTTGCACATCAAGCAAAAGAGCGATTAAGAGGCAAGTCACCAAATAAAATTTCAGTTTCAATGTGCAGCTGTCCTTGGAGGTTAGTCTGATTCTACATCCTCCCCATCCCAAAGGGATCCAGGGAAGCAACGTCTATGTAAATAAATAAATCTACACTTCTAACCTAATAGCATCTGTTGCTATATGTTAAGAAACATTCTTCTCAAATAGTCATATGGAATGCCACAAAATTCAATTTTATTTTATACCCTTCCTCATACTTCACACAAAATTGCACAGTCACTGACCTTCAAGAGTAGGATTAGAAGAGCTTAAAGCAGCCCGCAGGCTATCAGTGCAATACTGCTTTCAAAAAACCCCCCCCCCCCCCCCCCCCAAACACCCAACCCTACCTTTTTTTTTTTTTTCCCCTTTTCCCCCCCCACCCCAACAACCTTCTATTATTTTTTTTTTTTTTTTTGATGGGGGGAGACCACCCCCCCACCCCAACCACACCAGGGGGGGGGGGGGGGGGGGGGCGCCCCGTTCCACCTCACCACCCCCTCCTCCTCTCTTTTTTTTTTAACCCAACAAATTCTTCCTCTTTTTGCAGCATCAGATGTCTTCTTCTTCACCACACAAAAACCAAAATAATTAAACGAAAAATGGGGGCAGCCGGTTTGCTCTTGGCCCCCTAGAAGATACAAACCCACAGGACAAGTTTAGTCTTCCATAACATGTCCATTCTGATTTAGGTGTTTGAGTGCCTGGAGCACAGCTTTCCGTCAAGGAAATCCCCATAACAGAAACCTGAACATCAGTCAGGTTAGGAGTGCTATGGACTGTCCTATACAGTTAAGGCTTGCCCAATTTACACTCTCCCTAAGAACTACTAAACCATGGTGTCGACCACCTACGTCAAACCAAACCTAACCCCCATTTTTCTTTAAAAACCCCCCCCACAAACCCCCAAACCCCCCCCCCCCCCCCGCCCACACCCAGGGGATTCCCCCCCAGGGACGGAGGCGGCACCGCCACCCCCGGGCACATTGCGCCAGTATAAGGGACTCCCGCTGAGCCCAGGCTCCTCAGTTTCTTCTTGCCGACCTCTCCGAGAGAGGGGCCAGTGCGTGGGTCTTGGAATGGACATGTGCAACACATCTCGAAGAACAACAGTTATGAAAGGTAGGTAACCGGTTTTTCTTCTTTGAGTGATTGCACATGTCCATGCTGATTTAGGTGACTAGTCAGCAGTAGATCTGGAGGCAGGCTTGGAGATTAAGTACAAGCTGACTGTAGGACCACTCGTCCAAAAAAGGCATAGTCTCTCACCAGCTGCATGATGGCATAGTGTGTTGTAAAGGTATGCACCGAGGACCATGTCGCTGATCTGCAGGTTCCAATCCAGGACATATGCACTCAGCAGGCTGCTGAAAAGGCTTGGGACCTCGTGAAGTGGGCCGTTAAGTTTGATGGAGGGGGAGCGCCTGTGAGGTCGTAACATGTTCATATTCAGGATGTGATCCAAGATGAGATCCTCTGGAAGGAGACCGGAAGCACTTTTATTCTGTCAGCCATAGCCACAAAGAGCTGGGGCGACCTGCAAAACAATTTGGTTCTTTTTCAATATAAAAAGCCAGAGCACGTCTCAAGTCCAGGGAGTTCAGTTGTTGCTCTTGCCTATTCACCTGAGGCTTAGGGTAGAAGACCAGTAGAAAGATAGGCTGGTTGTAGTGGAATTGGGACACAACTTTTGGGAGGAATTTCAGGTGTGGCCACAGCTGTACTTTATCTTTAAAAGAAAATTGTATACGGTGGCTCTGCTGTGAGGGCTCAGATCTACGAAATGCCTCCTTGCTGAAGTAATCACCACCAGGAAGGCCGTCTTGCATGAAAGGTGAAAAAGAGAGCATGTTGCCAGCAGTTCAAAGGGTGGTCCCGTCAACTTTGAGAGGACCAGATTCAAGTCCATGGAGGGGGAGGCTCTCTTATCTGTGGAAATGTTCTCTCCAGACCTGTGAGGAAGTGAATTACCATCTCATGAGAAAGAAATGACTTATTGTCAATCTTTGGGTGGAATACTGAAATGGCTGCCAGGTGGACTGTGAGCAAGGCAAGGGCTAGGCCTTGCTCCTTTAATGACAAGAAGTAGTCCAAAGTAAGATGGATTGAAGCTTGCATGGGCATAACTCCCTTAGCTGCAGACCAGAGAGAGAATTGTTTCCACTTTGCACAGTATGTCAACCTCGTGGAGGGCTTTCTGCTGTGCAAAAGAATCCTACTGACCTGCTCTGAACAAGCCTGCTCATCAGGGTTCAGCCACGCAGATTCCAGGCCGTTAAATGCAGGGTGCTGAGGTTCGGGTGCAGAAGACGACTGTGGTCTTGTGAGATCTGGTCCGGGCACAGAAGAAGCTTGATCAGAGCCATGAGGGAGAGCTGAACAAGGGTGGTGTACCAGTGTTCCTGGGCCACGCTGGAGCTATCAGGATGACCCAAGCCCGGTCATGTTTGATTTTTGTGGATTAACAGAATGGGCGGAAAGGCATAGAACAGGTGATGTGAACACTTGAGTAGGAAAGCATCTGTCATGCAGCCTGGGCTGTTACCCCTCAGAGAGCAGAACTGACAGCACTTCCTGTAGGACCATGTAGCGAACAGGTCTATGAGGGGAAGATGCTCATTGCGATATCTGGGCACAGACTCCACTCATGATACATTGAAAAACATCTGCTGAGCCTGTCCGCAAGCTGGTTCTATACCCCGGCAGGTAAAAAGCCTCAATCTCGATCAAGTGAATAATGCAGAACTCCCATAGATGGACTGCTTCTCGATACAGGGAAGAAGAGCGAGCACCTCCTTGCCTGTTGATGTAATATATGGTTGATGAATTGTCCATGAGGATTGAGACTGTTCTGTTTGTGATGTGCGGTCAGAATGCCTGGCACACCAGAAGGACTCCCCTGAGCTCCCTGACCTTGATATGGAGTAATAGGTCCTCCACTGACCATCGACCCTGGGTCTTGAGTGACCCTAGGTGGGTTCCCCAGCCCAGATCTGAGGCATCGGGGACTAGGAATACTGATGGCTGAAGCTTTGTGGAGGGAATCCCTTCACAGACTACTCAGCGATCCAACCACCACAATAGGGAACCAAGGATGTGAGTGGGCACAGTGACCGCCCTGTCCAGGTGGTGTCTTGCAGGGGAGTACACCGTAGACAACCAGGCTTGGAGAGGTCTGAGTCTGAGCCTCGCATGCTGAACGACATACGTGCACGAAGCCACGTGGCCGAGTAGACTCAAGCAGAGCCTGACCGTGGTGATTGGTTGGGACTGCATGTGACATATCAGGTCCACGATCGCCTGGAAGTGATCTTCTGGCAGAAAGGCCTTCGCCCATTGAGAGTCTAGGACTGCTCCTATGAATTCTATCCTCTGCAAGGGTACCAGGGTTGACTTCTGGACATTGATGAGAAGTCCCAGTGCCTGGAAGGTTGACTGGATAAGGGAAATGTCAGCCTACACTTACGCTTGAGACCTGCCCTTGATGAGCCAGTCGTCGAGGTACGAGAATACATGAGCTCTTCTTCTGGGAAAAGCCGCCACCACTGCCATGCATTGGTAAAGACTCTTGGGGCCGCTGAGAGGCCCAATGGCAGGGCTGCAGATCGCTGGTTTGCCAAGAACCTCAGGAATTTTCTGTGGCCTTAGAAAATCGATATGTGGAAGTATGCATCTTAAGTCGAGGACAGCATACCAATCCCCTAGATCCAGTGATGGGATGATCGATCCCAAGGAGACTATACGGAACTTCAACCTCTTGAGATATCGGTTGAGATGATGCAGGTCTAAGATAGGTCTGAGACCTCCCTTGGCCATGGGAATCAAAAAAATAACAGGAGTAAAACCTCTTTCCCTTTAGATGACCTGGGACCTCCTCCACCTCTCCCATTTCAAGGAGACTGAATTTCTTGCTCTAGCAGAAGCTTGTGAGAAGGGCCCCTGAAGGAGGGATGCGGAAGGTGGGAGTGAAATAAACTGGAGGGTATAACCAAACTTAACAGTGTTTAGAACCCAGCGGTTGCCGGTGATCCATTTCCAGGCCTGGAGGAAGTGGGAAAGACTGTGGAAAAAAAAGGGATAAACTGGATCATGATGAATTGGTATGCTCTCCTCAAAATGGGTGTTTCGAGGCGCCCAAGTGATGATGGGCTGATTGAGAAGGCCCTGCAGAGGAGGAGAAGGCAGGCGTGGCCTACACCCAGAACCCTTGTTCCTACGCCTCCTATGATCGTAACGATTCTGGTGCGGGTAAAAACGGCCATATTGCTGCGGCCTATATTGCCTCCTAGGCTGCGACTGGGACTTCAAGCCCAGGGACTTCAATGTTGCCTTGGTGTCTTTAACCCTGTGGAACCGGACGTCTGTCCGCTCCGAAAAAAGCAAAAGGTCCCTCAAATGGCAGATCTTGCATTGCCTGCTGAACTTCTTGGGGGAACCCTGCCACCTGTAACCACGAGCTCCTACACACAATCCCAGCTGTGGCCATAGATCTAGCCATCGAGTCTGCAGCGTCAAGGTCTCTGCAAGGAGGCTCTGGCTACTGTTTTGCCCTCATCCACAAGTGTAGCGTACTCCTGCTCACTAGCCTGGGGAAGTCTGTCTCTGTATTTGTTCATTGCCTCCCATATATTATTATCATGGCAATCCAGCAGCACTTGCTGGTTAGTTATCCTAAACTGGAGCCCCCTCATGGAATACGAATTTTTCCCCAGACGATCCTTTTTCTTAGGTTCCTTTGGCTCGGGAGTAGACCCCATCTGACCTTGGCAGCTGCCATCACGAGGGACCAGGGAGGAGGATGA